CCACTCGATGTGTCTCACTCACATCGATGTTTCTCTTTCTCTTTCTCCCTGTCTCCCTCCCACTCTATCTGAGGATAAATGCAAAAATGTCCTCAGGTGAGGATAAAAAATAAAAATAAATGGTGTTGGGAAAATTGAACAGCTACACGCAAAAAATGAAACTAGACCACCTACTTAAACCACACACAAAAATAAATTCAAAATGGATAAAAGACTTAAATGTGACTCGTAAATCCATAAAAATCCTAGAAGTAAATGTAGGCAACAAAATTTCAGACATCATACGCAGCAGAATTTTCACTGACACAAGGCCTAAGGCAAGAGAAACAAAAAAATTAATATATGGAACTACATCAAACTAAAAAACTTTTGCACAGCAAAAGAAACAAGCATCAAAATGGAAAGGGAACCCACTATATGGGAGACCATAATTGCCAACGATACATCAGACAAGGGGTTAATTTAAAATATAAAGAGTGGTCATACAAATCAACAAAAGAAGGACAAAGAACCCAATAAAAAATAGGTAAAGGACCTAAATAGACACCTCTCCAAACAGGACATACATATGGCCAAAAGACATATGAAAAAATGCTCAATGTCACTAACCACCAAAGAGATGCAAAGTAAAACAACTATGAGGTATTACCTCACACCTGCCAGAATGGCTGCCATCAAACAACAAGTTCTGGCAAGGGTGTGGAGAAAAGGGGACTCTAGCACACTGCTGATGGGAATGCAGGCTGGTGCAGCCACTATGGAAAACAATACGGTGTTTCCTCAAAAAATTAAAAATAGAACTGCCATTTGACCCAGTGATCCCACTCCTAGGAATATATCCTAAAAAGCCTAAAACACCAATCATAGAGAATATATGTACCCCTATGTTCATAGCAGCACCTTTTATAATTGTTAAGATCTGGAAACAGCCCAGCCAGTGTGGCTCAGTGGTTGAGCGTCAACCCATGCACCAAGAGGTTGCTGGTTTGATTCTCGGTCAGGGCATATGCCCAGGTTGTAGGCCCGATCTCCAATAGTGGTGTGCAGGAGGCAGCCAATCCATGTTCTCTCTTATCAATGTTTCTATCTCTCTCTCCCTCTCTTTTCCTCTCTCTCTACAATCAATAAAAATAAATAAATAAAGATATGGAAACAGCCCAAGTGTCCATCAATAGATGAGTGGATAAAAAAGTTGTGGTACATACACACAATGGAACGCTATGCAGCTGTAAGAGAGATCTCTTCTCCTTTGAGACGACATGGAAGGAAATAAGGCAATCAGAGAAAGACAAATACCACATAATCTCACTTATTTGTGGAATATAATGAGCAAAATAAGCTGATGAACAAAATAGACCCAGAGACACAGAAAGGAATATGGTTCAGACTGACAAATCTCAGAGGAGAAGGGCCAGAGGGATGGATGAGATAAACCAAAGAACCTATATGCATGTATGCGTAACCAATGGACATAGACAACAATACTGGAGGGGTGGTGGAGAGAAATGGGAAGAAGGGTATCTAGGGGTGAAAAAGGAGAAACATCTGTAACAAAAATAAACTAATAATAATTAAAAAATAAGAAAAAAGAAAAGTATCCTCAGGTGAGGAATTAAAAAAGAAAAGAAAAGAAAAGCTTCTGCACAGCAAAAGAAACAACCATCAAAATAGAAAGGCAACCCACTGTATGGGAGAACATCATTGCCAATGATATATCAGATAAGGGGATAATTTCCAAAATATATAGAGTACTCATACAACTCAACAAAAGGAAGATAAGTAACCCAATTAAAAAATGGGCAGAGAAGCTGAATAGACACCTCTCCAAACAGGACATACAAATGGCCAAGAGACATATGAAGAAATGCTCAACATCACTAATCATCAGAGAGATGCAAATTAAACCAACAATAAGGTATCACCTCACACCTGTCAGAATGGCCACCATCAACAAACCATCAAACAAGTGTTGGCGAGGGTGTGGAGAAAAGGGGACTCTAGTACATTGCTGGTGGGAATGCAGGCTGGTGCAGCCACTATGGAAAACAATATGATGTTACCTCAAAAAATTAAAAATTGAACTTCCATTTGACCCAGTGATCCCGCTTCTAGGAATATACCCTAAGAAGCCTGAAACACCAATAAGAAAGAATATATGTACCCCCATGTTCATAGCAGCACTATTTACAATAGCTAAGATCTGGAAACAGCCCAAATGTCCATCAGTAGAAGAATGGATAAAAAAGCTGTGGTACATATACACAATGGAGTACCATGCAGCTGTAAGAAAGAAAGATCTCTTATCCTTTGAGATGACATGGAGGGACCTGGAAAGTATTATCCTAAGTGAAACAAGCCCAGCAGAAAAGGACAAATACCACATGATCTCATTTATATATGGAATATAATGAATGTAACAGTCTGAGGAATAGGGTAGACCCAGAAACATGGAAGTAGGGTACAGACTGACAACCCTCAGAAGAGGGGGGATGGCGGAAGCGGGAAGAGATAAACCACAGAACTTATATGCTGTATGCATAACCAATGGACGTGGACAACAGGGCCGGGGATGGGGTGGGGGGGATGGGGAGGAGGGTGTCAATGGGGTCAAAAAGGAGAAACATCTGTAACAAAAATTTAAAAATAAATAAATAAATAATTTTTTTAAAAAAAGAAACAAAAATAAACAAGTGGGATTACATTAAAATAAAAAGCTAGGAAATCATCAACAAAATGAGAAGGCAACTAGGGAATAGAAGAAAATATTTGCAAACCATATATCTGATAAGAGGTTAATATTCAAAACATACAAGGAAGTCACACAACTCAATAACAAAATAACAAATAACCCAATTTAAAAATGGGCAAAAGACTCATATAGACATTTACCAAAAGACAAACAAATGGACAACAGATACATGAAAAAGTGCTCAACATCAATTATCACAAGGGAAATGCAAATCAACACGCCCGCACCCCCTGCAATGAGATATCACCTCACACCCATTAGGATGTCTATTATCAAAAGATAAGAGATTACAAATGCTGGCGGGGATGTGGAGAAAAGGAACACTTATGCACTGTTGGTAGGAAAGTACACAGGTACAGCACTATGGAAAACAGTATGTTTCCTCAAGAAATTAAAAATAGAACTACTATAAGATCTGGATATATACCTAAAGGAAATAAAAACACTATCTTGAAGATGTATCTGTACTCCCATGTTCGTAGCAACATTATTTACAATAGCCAAGGTATGGAAACAACCTAAATATCCATCAATTGTTGAATGGACGGGAAAAAATGTAGTATATAGTTATATCACAGTCTGAAAAGAAGGGAATCCAGTCATTTGTGGTAACATGGGTGAACCTGGAGGACTCATGCTCAGTGAAATAAGCCAGACAGAGAAAGCCAAATACTGCATGGTATCACTTATATGTCTTTAGAAAATAATGTCAAACTCATAGAAACAGAGATTAGAATGGTAGAATGTTGATTGCTAGAAGCTTAGGGGTGAGAGATAAAGGGAGAGTCTGGTAAAAAGTACAAACTTTCAGCTATAAGATAAAGTCTGAGTATAATATGTGACTATAGTTGGCAATACTGTATTATATAATTGGGGCTTGTTACGAGAGTACAACTTAAGTATTCTTACAAAATAATAAAAACTAAATAGGTGCCCCCCCCCCAAAAAAAGAGCTATCAAACCATGAAAAGACATGGAAGACCCTTAACTCATAATTCTAAGTGAAAGAAGCCAGTCTAAAAAGGCCTACGTACTATATGATTCCAACTATATAACATTCTGGAGAAGGCAAACTATGGAGACGATAAAAAGATCAGAGGTTGTTAGAGGTTGAGGGCTACCTGGGGGAGAGAAAGAATAGGTGGAGCACACAGGATTTTTAGGGTAATGAAAATATTCCGTATGATTCTATAATGATAGATACATGTCATTATACATTCGTTCAAACCCACAAAATGTGCTACACTAAAAGTTAACCGTAATGTAAGTTATAAATTTTGGGTGATTATGATGTGTCAATGTAGGTTTATTGATTATAATAGATGTACCACTCTGGTGGGGGATGTTGATAATGGGGGAGACTATGTATGTTTGGGGAAGGGGGTACATGGGAACTCTCTGTACCTTCCTCACAATTTTGCTATGAACCTAACATCACTCTAAAAATCTCTTTAAGTATGAAAAACAAATCTATATTTCATGTGCCTGAAAAGAGAGTAAGGAAATCAGTGAATGAATATCCTAAGTGTCCACACAGTGGGAAGGGAAAGCAAAGAGAGGCAACCTGGTATTCTCTGAAACTGCTCCAGTAAGAACCAAAGAACTACAGTAGGAACTGAGATGATAATCAAGAAATAAGTTGCCCTAGCCAGGAAGCTCAGTTAGTTAAAGTGTCTTCCCCATATGCCAAGCTTGTAGGTTGGATTTCCGGTCAGGGCACATAGGAGAAGAAACCAATGAATGCATAAATAACTGGAACAACCAATCAATGTTTCTCTCTCTCTCTCTCCCCCTCCCTTCCTCTCTCTCTCTCGCTCTCTAAAATCAATAAATTTATAAAAGAAAACAAATAAGCTCCTAACCCTGGCTGGGTAGCTCAGTTAATCAGAGCATTGTCCCGATACACTAAGGTTCCGGGTTCAATCCCCAGTCAGGGCACATACAAGAGTCAACCAATGAATGAACATATAAATGGAACAACAAATTGATATTTCTCTCTCTCTCCCCTCCCTCCCTAAAAAATCAAGCAGTAAGTAAAATTTTAAAAAATAGTAAGTTCACAGAGATGTGATATATTAGAGAGAATAACTGATGAAAGAGAAGAGTCTCCTTCCCTGGAGACCCCTAAGAGATAAGACCAGTCAGGGCTAGCGTGAGACAGGGACAAGATAGTTCCTTAGTAAATATAAACCCATGCCAACCAGATGCCCTATAGGAATCTCCTGAAAGGAGCCCCAAAGATCAGTCTTACTTTTTTCTCCCCCTCCTCCTCTTCCAAGTCTAACTCTTCCTCTTCTTTCTCCAAGAAGGAATCTGAGCTCTTAGCCCCAGAGAGCATTAAGTCTAGAACAGGAATAGGAAGGAAATGCAAAATCATTTATTCAATAAAACAGATGATGAGTTAATAGAGATGATCCCAGAGAATCAGTCTTCTAACTCTACCCTTCATGTCCAAGTAGTATTTTCTCCATAAAACATGATCCTAGATTATCATGGTTCGACCCTTTTCAAAGTGCACCCTCCCTCTCTGCCCCCTTTTTCCCTCCATTCTCTCTCCACTCATCCTTCCATTTATCCATCCCCAAAATTGGGCCAATGTATTCATAGAAAGCCTCCTATTATAAAATCTAGAACTAGACTAATGACAACAGATATAAGACAAAGAAAAGCTTCAGTTGCTGCCCCCATGAAGGAATCCCTCTTCTCCCTCTTTAGTCCTCATCCTCCTACAATCCTACCTTTTCCTTCCCCATTACTGTCCGATCCATTGAATCTGCTCCTGAAACCAAACAATTTAACCCGCTCCTGAGGGAACCAAGAAACAAAAACATCATCTACTACTCGCCCAGAGACTATTGTTACCCTCTGTCTTCAAGATTTTAGTTATGGGACTTGTATATATATTCCATACCATTTTCACTTGGAATTTCACATTTCCCATGAAAATTTGTGGAGATTAACTATTATAATATATTATAGTATTGCAGTAAAATAATATGTAATTATATGTTATATAATATTATCATCTTTTCCACTTTATAATTCAATAAATAATTGGGAAGGGTAAATTCCATTTGTCATTCTCCACCCCACCCACAAAGGCAGAATTTGGGGGTAAAAACTGACTCCACATAAAAGAGCAGTTAGAGTACATACATCTGAATCTTAAAGTTAAAAAATGGGGAAGACATGCCCCCTACCACAAACTGTCTCTGTCTGGGCTGAGAGAAGATTCCATTTGTTCAAGGGTAGGGAAAAAAATGGACAAGTTAAGGAATAAAGGGAATTTGACCTGGGAAGAAAAGATTACAAAGTTCTAAGACAGACTGTGTAATGGGGAAGGACAATCCGGTTTTCTTTAGTAGAGAATGCATGGTTTGCTTTGGGTCTCAGGTCCCAAAGAGGAGCTGTTTTGTGGTCTGAACACTCTCCCACCTGAATACTGATCTGTTCTGCCTCTTGAGCCATTATCATGGCTGCCCCCAGTTTCTGGCTGCAGTCCTTGTTCCTGCATTTTTTCTGAAATGGAAGATTAGAGTCATGATAAATATTAGAAAAGTGACCCCAACATACTGCTACTCACCAGACATTATCTTTAACTACATTTATTTCTGGTTCTTGGTATTGATATGATACTCTTATTAATGTTTTGAGTTCAGAGACACAATCCTCTATTAGCCGCCAAAAAAAAACCCTCACCAATTCCTAGCAAGATTTTCAACCAACATTTTGGTGTCCTCTAAAGTAAATCCCATGAAAATTTGAAAAGGCAAGATGAAAGGAGTTCAGGTGATTATACTTTTAAGCTACTCACAAGTTTCTTTAGATCCAATTGTTTGATTTAATACTCACTGCCTGATTTTCTAAGGCCCCTGAGGTGCTGGACCTCTGCTCATTTGTAAGGCTGATCAAACCCAAAGCAATTATAGGGAGGAAAGATAATTTAGCTAATTCAGTGATTCTCAGCCAGGGGAGGTTTTGCTCCCCATAAGACATTTAGCAATGCCTACAGACAACTTTTTGGTTGTCACAACAAGGGGTCGGGGGTGGGGGGTTGCTACTGGCTAGATGTCAGTAGAGCCCAGGGATGCTAATAAACATCCTACAGTGCACAGGACAGCCCTCCACAACAAATAATTATCTGGCTCAAAATGTCAACAGTGTCCAAACTGAGAACCTCTGAGTTAATCTATGCCCTCACTTCTGATACACCTGCTTTGGCTAAACTGCAGAAAACCAGAGTCTTAGGAAGGCCCCCCATCTAAAGGAAGGGAAGGAGACTAAGAAAAATCATTATCCTGTTGCAATCCTGATAGAAACAAGAGTCCCTCATGAATAACCTCACCCTTGTATGCTTGGTCAAACATAGGACTTTCTCCTGACACAGCTTTCCCTGGGAGAAAATCAGGTTTAATAAAGGAAAGATTTAGTTTTCAAGTTCCCTGTGTCACAATTGACTCCCAAACGTTGCTCACCACTCCAGATAGCTCCAGAGACAGTTCCTGGAAGTTCTTTAGCATGTTGACTGGAATCCAAGCACGAGAAACTGTTTCTCCAAAAAATGTCACATGATACTTAGACTGAAATAAAAGATGGTTATATTATGGCTTCTTGTCTTTCTCCTTAATTTGGCCCTCCAGCCAGAAAAGGCAGGGGAAAAACTGAAGAATCACAAGGAAGGAGGTGCTGGGCCTCTTCTGCTCCCTTAAACCTGATCCACCTGACCCACTTCATTCCATTGTTCTTCCATCCTAACTTCAGTAATCCTAACCAAAGCATATTTATCAAAACATAAATGTCCTCATAATAAATATTTAATTAGATACAACTTTGTTTCTATAGTGAGAACTTATTTCTGTTTGTCACTCTAGCTAAGTGTCTGTTTCTGCTGATGTCTGCTGGCTATGCCTATGTTTCTAACTCTATACATCTGTTAGGATGAATTTGGTCGTTACTTTGGCCTGACCACCTACCTGAATCAGGAAAACTCACCGGAAGGGAATCAAGATGAGAAGCAAAAAGAAAATACTCCCCAAGGTCAGGATCAGATTCTACCATGCCTGGCCACCTGAAGAAGATAGATTGGTGTAGGGGATGGAAGAGAAGGGGCTAAATGAACAGAACACAAATTCATCAATATACATGTACAGAAAAGGGCAATATATTTTGTAAGCAAAGGATCCCAAAAATAGACGCCCCCTGTCAATCCATGCCAGTGGTCACTACCAAATGACTAAAGACTAAAGTGACTTCCATCAATGTACAAAGAACCTCGGGATCTTCCTTGTAAAAGTATCTTATCCTTAGGCCTTCTGGCAACTCTGAGGACAAGTCTTCTGACTAGGGACATCTCCAAAGAAAAAATTATCCATCCTGCCCTGGCCAGTTTGGCTCAGCAGTTAGAGCGTCGACCTGCGGTCCTGAGAGACCCGGGTTTGGTTCCCGCTAAGGGCGCGTACCTCGGTTGCAGTTTGTCCCCGGCCCTGGTCGGTTGTGCGGGTGGCAGCCACTCGATGTGTCCCTTTCACGTCGATGTTTCTCTCTCTCTCTCTGTTCCTCTCTCTCCCTCCCACTCTACCTGAACAAAAAATGGGAAAGTGTCCTCGGGTGAGGATAAAAAAAAAAAAAATTATCCATCCTACCCTCCCTTGTTCTCTTTACTTTGTCCTTAATAGGTCAGTGTTTAAAAAGTGCCACAGAACCCGGCCAGTGTGGCTCAGTGGTTGAGCATCAACCATCCATGCACCAAGACGTCGCCAGTTCGATTTCTGGTCAGGGCACATGCCCAGGTTGTGGGCCAAACCCTCAGTGGGGGGCATGCAGTAGTGGCCAATCAATGTTCCATCTCATCGATGTTTCTATCTTTCTCTCCCTCTCCCTTCCTCTCTCTCTAAAAATAAATAAAGAAAAAAATTTTTTAAATAATAGTAAATAAATAAATACTGCCATAGAGCCACCCTCCTCTTTCTACTGACTCAGGGTAGAATTGTCAAACCCTTTTTTCCAAGGGGATACCACCTCTACAGTGAAACTCTAGAAAACATGCTCTTTCAAAGTCTCCAAGCTTGGTACTTTATCTTTTCCCCTATTCCATGCTCTTTCTAAGGCAGGTACCATTTCTTTTAATCCTTACCCAAGGATATGTTTTGTTCTTTTATTAATTTTAGAGAGAGAGAGGGGAAGAGAGAGAGAGAAACATTGATTAGTTGCCTCCTTTATGCACCCTGAGAAGGGATTGAACCCCACAACCTAGGTATGTGTCCCAACTGGAAATCAAACCTGCAACCTTTTAGAGTATGGGACAATGCTCCAACCAACTGAGCCACCCGGCCAGGGGTAAGGCAGGTACCATTTCCATTGTAAGTGCTTTCCATTTCCTTCCCTATCCATTTGAATCTACCACTCCCAAGTTCATGAAAGATGCTCTGAATATGCCATGGTGCCCTACCAGGGGTAACCATATTGCTTGGCCCAGATGATGGATCCTGGGATGTAGGAGGCATAGGCCACATCACTCTCATGCCCTATCCAGGTTTCCTCAGGGATATCACAGCGATTGTACTCCAAGTCTGCCAAAAAAAAGAGAAGGAATAAAGGGAAGGAAAGAGCCTGGATGAGGGCAGGAGGTAGAACAAGAAGAAACTGGTATAGACAGCAGGTGGGACCAAAAGGGCACCTGGGAGACAGGCATGGAGGAAGAAGACAAAGACCCATGGAGGAAATGCAGCCTAGAGCCAGGAAAAGTAGGAGTGCTACCTCCTTATACTCTAGAGAAAGAGATTCCATACTTCTATATCCCACATTGTCTGACCCTCCTTCCACCTATGCAACATTATAACTGTAATTTCTGAGACTCTGTTTTCTTGTCAGTAAAATAACAGGGCTGAATTAGAGCGTCATAATCTCTTTCAAGTAGTTTCAAACATTCTAGAATTCTAAGCCACTGGATTTCTCTCACCTGTTTTTCCCTATATTTTCCATATCCTTTCCTATCCACCAATCCAATACCAATAATTTAATCAGGACTGACAAGGTCAGACCAATGCTAGATAAGATGGAATTCTCTCAGAACATACATTTAGATTCCATGCCCCGCCCCACAACATAACTCTTCAGGTTGTCTTTTTTCTAGCCCATTATTCCAGATTCATCTTGATATGACAGGAAGACCCTTTTCTCTCCCCAAACACTACAAGGAGCCCTGGAGTTGAAACTATACCTACAATATATTTAATTTAAAAGATATGTGCAGGAAAAGAAAGGGTGAAACCAAAAAATAACATTTCCACTCCATTTTACCTGTATTCTGGTCACAGGACCAATTATCTGGAAGGACTGAGGGGTCAATATTCCCACGAAGCCGCCTCCATTTCTCACAGTTTGGGAAGGAACACTGGACCCAGACTAGACATTGACCTGTGACAGGACAAAAAAAACTTAGAGACTCAAAAATATGCTCTTCCTTCTTCAATCCAATTAAAATCAACATACTCCCCACCAGAATCACACAGACTTGGAGATAACCTAGTCTAATCCTTGACTTATAAATGAAAAATGTAAGGCTCAAAGAAGACCATTAACTTGCTGAAGATCAGTCTAAATTTGTGGCAGAGCTGAACTTACAACTCAGGTCTCACATTTCAATCTTTTGCTAGACCATGCTATCATCTCTCCTCCACCGGGAACAGAAAGGAATGTTTCTTTTATTGACTGTTCTTTAAAGGTTGGCTTCTATCCTTCTGGCTAGTGCCTTGTTCTCTGCTGGCATTTCAGTACCAAAAAGTTCTTTTGAAGGGCTACCAAGCATCTTTTGTGTACAACATCCAGAGTTCCTATTTGAATCTCAACAAATTTACCTATCACAAAATCACCAATATGCAGCCTTTGGGACCAACAGCCCTGAATTCACCCCCTCCAAAAGACACAGGTCTAAGTCCACCATTTCTCAAGCAACTATTTACTTCAGACCCCGCCGAAAGGCATTCCTTTTATCCTTTATCTTCCAAATCCTCACTCTACCTTTCTCTATCTCCACATTTTCTAAGTTGATACAGTGCCACACACAGCCTCTCCTCTTTCCCTCCTAAACCCTTCCACTGCATTTTTTGAAATTCCAGACAAGAGCAACAAAGGTCTGCATATCTTCAACCTCTTCTCTGAACCTCTATCTCCTTTTTGAAACCTGGTGATGTACTGACATTGCCTCTAACCAACCCCACCCCACTCACAACCCTCTAAATAGAGTTGGTTCCTTCTCATACATCACATGTCTCTCAGGCCAGAAAATGAGTTCAGCATCATCCTTATTCTCCATTGCCACTTCCAGACCATTATCACCCTCCTTCCTATAAAAATCTTCCTCCCTTGAGATCCATGTCTTGGAACTACACCACCCTCTAATCTCCCTTGAAAAGATGCTGACATCTTGTTCAGCCTTCTTCTCTCTACCGCCTGCCCTCATTCCAGATGACCACTATTTCCACAGGAGTAACTCACAAAGCACCCCATTCTCTGAGTTCCTTGACCTTTTCCTTCATGCCACCTCAGTAATCCATTTCACTTCGGTAACCCACTCCTACCCTTGCATGCCCCACCCAGTCATCTGCAGGGACTGCATACTCCCTTGAACCACTTATCCAAATACCCCTATCTGATAAAAATTCCTTGTCCTTCAACTTCACTTGCTCAAAGACCCCGATAGCAACTTTCACTTTATCTAGATCTCTGATCCACGGACTCCTCTTCTCTCCTCAATCCAGTAGCAACCTTTTTTTTTTCTCCCCATTTTTTACTTCTTATTTTTAATTAATTAATTTTTGTTACAGATGTTTCTCCTTTTTCCCCCATTGATTCCCCACTCCCCCTCCCTCCCCACCCTGTCCCCAGCTTTGTTGTCCGTGACCTTTGTTCATACATACATGTATATAAGTTCTGTGGTTTATCTCTCCCCCACCACCCCCTCTTCTGGGGATTGTCAGTCTGTACCCCACTTCCACGTCTCTGGGACTACCCCATTCCTCAGACTGTTATGTTCATTATATTCCACAAATAAGTGAGATCATATGATACTTGTCTGTCTCTGTTTGGCTTGTTTCACTTAGGATAATACTTTCTAGGTCCCTTCATGTTGTCTCAAAGGATAAGAAATCTTTCTTTCTTACAGCTGCATGGTACTCCATTGTGTATATGTACCACAGCTTTTTTATCCTTTTGTCAACTGATAGACATTTGGGCTGTTTCCAGATCTTAGCTATTGTAAATAGTGCTGCTATAAACATGGGGGTACATATATTCTTTCTGATTGGTATTTCAGGCTTCTTAGGGCATATTCCTAGAAGTGGGATCATTGGGTGAAATGGCAGTTCCATTTTTAATTTTTGAGGTAACACCATATTGTTTTCCATAGTGGCTGCACCAGTCTGCATTCCCACCAGCAGTGTACTAGAGTCCCCTTTTCTCCACACCCTCGCCAACACTTGTTTGATTTGTTGATGGCGGCCATTCTGACAGGTGTGAGGTGATATCTCATTGTTGTTTTAATTTGCATCTCTCTGATGATTAGTGATGTTGAGCATTTCTTCATATGTCTCTTGGCCATTTGTGTGTCCTGTTTGGAGAGGTGTCTATTTAGTTCCTCTGCCCATTTTTTAATTGGGTTCTTTATCTTCTTTTTGTTGAGTTGTGTAAGCACTCTATATATATTGGAAATTAACCCCTTATCTGATATATCATTGGCAATGATGTTCTCCCATACAGTGGGTTGCCTTTCCATTGTGATGATTGTATCTTTTGCTATGCGGAAGCTTTTTAGTTTGATGTGGTCCCATGTGCAACCTCTTTTTTTACTTGTACTTAGGTTTGATTCCCAATCACCCGAGTTTTCTTTTCATATCTGAAATATGCCAAAATCCACCCTATCTAAAACTCTCCTATCCCTACTCTTCCTTCAGGTTTCAGCTTAAATGTCATTTCCTTACAAATGAATTCCCTGATGGACCCAATTTTAATTAGGTTTCCATTATTTCCTCTCATGACACTCCATTTTTTCCCTTTATAGTACTTAATAGAAATTGATTGTATTTATCAGATACTTCCCTTTCAACTTCCTACTCTAGGAGGACTCACCTCTCCTTGACAACTGTAAGAAACAGGAAGAGTAGTTCTTTTATAGCTAGAGGCTTAAACATTCACTATAATCACAATATGACTCACAAGCACTGCCCTAAGGGGTGAACTTCCATCTTCCAGTCTAAAGTCCAAACCTTGACCTAATACTGAGAGGTTCAGGAGACGGATCAATACCACACAGATCACCCGACTGCTCAACCTAGAAAATTACCTCCAGTTCCTTATATTACCATGTCATAATAACATGAAGAGTGGTTTATTGCCCTGGACTACCTGTGCCTGTATAGTCTTGCTATAGTTTTCTTTCAAGTATTTACAAACCATATTATGCTTCTATAATTAAAATTAGCCCAGCTGGTGTGAGTCGGTGGTTGAGCATCACCCATGCACCAATAGGTCGCCGGTTTGATTCCTGGTCAGGGCACATGCCCAGCTTGTGGGCCTGATCCCCAGTGAGGGGGATGCAGGAGGTGGCCAATCAATGTTCTCTCTCATCGATGTTTCTATCTCTCTCTTCCTCTCCCTTCCTCTCTTTCTCAAAATTAATAAAGAAAAAAAAATTTTATTTTTAAATTAAATTAAATACACACACACATACATGTTAGATACTAGCTGATTGTTTATTCCATTGTTCCTTATACTTTGGGTTCTGTTTTTTTGGTACAAGCCTGTTTTCCTTCAGATTGTTAATTCTACTTATTTTCAAAGTTGTAAACATACTAATATATTGTATGATCTATTTTTTCTCAATATTACCTAAAATTTCTCAGCATTATTAAGGTTATTTCATATAAAAAATTTGTTTATTATCTGTCTAACACACTAAGACCACAAATTCTATAAAGTCAAGGATTATCTATTCTGTTCACCACTATATTTCCAGCACCTAGTACAATGTCTGGCATATAATATAAGGCATTAATAACTATTGTTAAAAGAATAAATACATCTATATCCATCCTTACCTTCCCTCCATCCAATCTCAAAGGTTAAGTTGTCCTAAGAATAAATCCTCTGGTTTTCTTCTCATTCCCTTCCATCTCTCCCTCTCTATAAACAATTTTCCCTGAGCACATAAATATGCTGACAACACACAGGTCAAGTCTATTTCTTTAAAAGAAAGTTAAAAAAAACTTTTCCTCAACTCTGCACCCACTGTCCCCTTTATTTACCATTTTCTCCCTTCTAGTTTTCACATCTAAACTAATTGAAAAAATTGCCCTTGCCAGTGTAGCTCAATGGCTAGAGCGTTAGCCCACGCATGGAAGGGTCACAGGTTCAATTCCCTGTCAAGGGCAGGTACTTAGGTTGCAGGTTTGATCCGCAGCCCTGGTGCGGGCTTGTGTGGGAAGCAACCAATCGATGTGTCTCTCTCACACTGACATTTCTCTCTGTGTCTGTCTCTGTCTCTCTCTCACCTTCTCCTTCCCTCCCTTCCACTCTATCTGGAATATCAATGGAAAAATATCCTCAGGTAAGGATTAACAAAAAAAACAAAAAAAATTAGCCTACTATATTTGGTCAGGCTAATTTGGTGAGGTGTGTGATGTTAGCTGGTATTGATTTCTGATTTTGTGGGCTTTATATGGCCCTCGGGCTGGGCGTTCCACACCCCTGCAACTTGTCTACAGCTGAATTCATCATTTTAAACTTTCTCTTTCTTCTATATTCTCCATTTTAGATCATAGTTCTTTTTTTTATCCTCACCCAAGGACATTTTTCCATTTTTTGTTCAGATAAAGTGGGAGGGAGAGAGAGGAAGAGAGAGAGAAACATCAACGTGAAAGGGACACATCGAATGGCTGCCACCCGCATGACCAACCAGGGCCAGGGACAAACTGTAACCAAGGTGCATGCCCTTAGTGGGAACCGAACCCAGGTCTCTCTGGACTGCAGGCTGACGCTCCAACCGCTGGGCCAAACTGGCCAGGGTTAGATCATAGTTTTTTTAACCACTCAGTCACTCATGCCAGAAAACAGGATCATCCTACAGGCTCAGGCCTCACTCTTCCTCAGTTCTCATATCTAACTGGCAACCATATCATATTGATCCTGCCTTCTAAAGATCTCAAATTTGTCTCTTCCTCTTCATTGCTATTATCTATCTTCCTTGCTTGGATCACTATTTCTATGAGTCTAGTCTTGTTCCCAGGAATCCATCTTCCATGCTAGTGCCAAAGTGAGCTTTCTAAAATGCCAATCTTATCAAAGTTTCCCTACTTAATGCCAATGGTTCCTCTTTACCTGTAAAATAAAATCCAAATCCTTAGCTTCACATGTAAGGCTCTTTATGATCTGGCCCTTGCATGTCTCTAGCCTTATCTCCCCCATCCTTGCAACCTCCTACCCTACAGCACAACCAAAAGCTACCAACATTAGCCTTCCTCCATAACTCTGAAAATAATTATCTCTCTGTCCACCCCAATTTCTACCTTGGTTCATCAGACTAAATTATACTTCAAGTTCTGGCTCAAGTAGTATCTTTTCTTAGAAACTTTTCCAGGTTAACTCCAACTTGTAGCTTTCTTGTCTGCCTTCCTTAGAAGCCTATCTCCCTTGTGGCAGGCTTATACTCATTTCCTCTGCATTCACCCAGCACCTCCTAAAATGCCTGGTATATAGCAGGTACCCAAAAGCTATGGATTATATGAATGAATAATTGAATGAATTAAATCTTTCTTTTTCTTCCTCAGCAGCACATCCTCTAACAAGTAGCTGTGAGAAATTAATTATAATCTTTGCAGAATTCCTTCTAACATTCTAACCCTTGCCTCTCTCCTTCATCTCCAGTTTTCAAGCCCAAGCAGTTTTTCCAAACCATGGCTGAACTCACCAAAACCATTTTCCTCTCCTTTTTGTTGGTCCCTGATCTGAGAATGATCCTGAACTGTTTTCTTCAGTTGGTCTTTCTGTCTATGCTCATGTCCACTTTGGGCATTCTCATCTTCTGGGAAGATAAAATATTGTAGGGTAGGGAGATAAGGAAGAGATTCTTTGTAGATAGTAAAGCAGAAGAATCATAGCATGATAGTTTCAAGACTTAGGTTGGAAATTCTCAGCCTACCCACTGTCCCACTCCCTAATTTCATGGATTAAGAATTTGAGCCAGATGTCAAAGTCTATCTGACTATACTTACCAGCTTCCTTCTTTCTTTTCTTTAAGGAGAGTTTGCTGAATTTCTTTTCAGAGGGTGCAGGATCTGGCTGGCCTGGCTTAGATGTCTTTATCTCAGCTTCCTCAGAGGCTGAAATCTCTAGAATATGAGGTACCATTACCCTCTCTCTGAAAATAAGATATTTTTTAAATGAAAAGGTAAAATAATCCAAGGATAAAAGAGGGTAGAAGAATTCTAGGCTCTCTAAGGCCTTCTGAGGTCATTTCATCCATCTACTTGTCTATGTTTCCCAATTCAAACAGGTATCTTTCCTGAGCTAAGAAACATTTATAGAGATATCAAAAATGGCTAGATAGGTATATAGATAGATGATAGATAGATAGATAGATAGATAGATAGATAGATAGATAGATATAGATAGATAGACCACTTATAAATATTAAGTCCACCTTGTGATCAACTCACGCACAGGGATAAACTTACCTATCAGCATTATCATTATTAGTAGTAGAAGAAGTAATTCTTGGTTCCTTGTCTAACTGGGTACATCTTATGGGTTGGGCACAGGAAGTATCTGCAAAATCAAGGTAGATTCTATCCCTTCCGAAACAAAATACTATAAGCAGAGCAGCAATTTTTTAAAATAACCACTCCAGCCCTGGCCAGTTGGGCTCAGCAGTTAGAGCGCTGGCCCACAGTCCAGAGAGACCCGGGTTCCCACTAAGGGCATGTACCTCAGTTGCAGTTTGTCCCCGGCCCCCGTTGGGTCGTGTGGGTGGCAGCCACTTGATGTGTCTCTCTCACATCGATGTTTCTCTCTCTTCCTCCCTCTCTCCCTCTCACTCTATCTAAAGATGAATGCAAAAATGCCCTCAAGTGAGGATAAAAAATAAAAATAAATAAAAATAACCACTTCATTATTTCTAAACTGTAACCCTTCATTAAAATGTCTTCTATGTGTTGCCTGGAAGAGTCTACTTGTAGACTTTCGTCATATCATAAAATTTTAAGTCTTAAATTTTCAGAAAAAATCTACAAATCTATGTCCTTCTAAAAGCCTTTCCAGATTTATCTGTCTTATTCCAGGATAACCAGGTAATGTTAATTTTATGTACTGTGTTTTATATCATTTGTTCCTCAAACTTTCCTCTAGGAATAGAAGTACATCTAAGAATAGCTGAAAATGTCAGACCATTCTTCTTAGCCTTGTGACCTTATGAAAGGGTCTTGGGGTCTATGCTATAGAGTTCTTTGTTTTAAAAATCAAATCCCTGAACATATGTTGAAACAGTATGGGAAACAGAAAATATAAAAGAGCAGATGGAAATTAAGTTATTAAAACCCGGGAAAAATAATTTATCTTTTCTAAGATGATTCTGAACATATAAAAATACATTTAAATTACATTTAAAAATTTAGATGAGACTATATTTACACTCTCGTGTCAATGTAATCTACTTTTCTAAAAGTCTGTAACTCCTATCTTAGGTGGTTTAGCTACAGTCCTGTTGGAAGATGAGGTCTTTTAAAGTACTTCAAAGTTCCATCTAATATTTTTTTACTTAGGAGTGAAGCTATCAACTTACTCTACATCTTAGGTAACAGTTTCTCTGCCTAACTGAAACTCTTTTTCTCTCACCATCAGCCATACCCAAGCACTGTTGAAGGGACTTCTGTAGCACAATCTGGACAATCTCCTCAAATTCTTCATTGGTAAGACCTGATTTTTCCTGCAGAGACAAGGGTAGGGCAGAAAAACTGCTTGTCTTTTCCCAGTTCTCCTCTCTGGCCAGCCAGAAAAGCCTCCTTTAGATGAGGCAGTACATTCACAAGGCTGAGAGCATAAAGTTGATCATACAATAGGACTCCATAAACTCTATCCCAGATCTCCTGGGAATAAAGGAGTCCAAAAACAGAAAAAGTTAATAAAATTTCTGTCCACCTCTGCTCTCATTTCCATCCCACCTCAGCCCCTACCTACCTACCCATTATTTCCTGCTAAATGATTTCATCAAAACATTTTTGACCATGCCCTGACCAGTTTGGCTCAGTACTTAGAGTATCAGTCCACAGACTCAAGGGTCCCAGGTTCAATTTCCAGTTAAGGGCATGTACCTGTGTTGCAGGTTCAATCCCTGGCCCTGGTCAGGGTCGTGCAGGAGGCAACTAATCATTCCCCCCTCTTTCTCTCCCTCTCTCCCTCCCTCCCTCCCTCCCTCCCTCCCTTCCATTCTATCTAAAAAAAAAAAAAAAAAAAAAAATCAATGGAAAAAATATCCTCGGGAAGGATTAACAAAAAACAAACAAAAAAACATTTTTTACCTCTTTAAGAAGAAAATGGAAATCCCAAAAAAGAAATAAAAAAACTGAAACTAAAGATGAATTTCCCCAACATGAAAAGATTCTGTTTGTCCAGGATAGATGACTGGAAGAAACTGTCCCACTAGATCCCACCAATGTGACTGATACCTTTTCTTTCTTCTTTGCTTGCTTCTTGTCTTGAGCCTTTACTTTTTTCTCCTGGACAATGCTTGGACCATTCTCTGTAGTTGCTTTCTCCTCCTTCTTCTCTACCTTGGCCTTTAGCAGGTTTGGCCTGGCCTCTATCTCCAGGGAACTGATTCCCAGGGTCTCCTCTTTGGGTGAATTAGGGCAATATGGCATCAGGCTATGCAATTTTTGTGCAGGTGGGGCAAAGGTTTTTTTTGAACCTTTCTCATATTCTGAAAGAAATTTGATCATCAAATGTAATTTATGATACATAGAGCCCAACACAGAGATTGCCAAACACTGCCAATCAACTGACTATATCAGAATTATTTAGAGAAATAGTTTAATAAATTCAGATTTCTAGGTCTCTCCTCACTTACCCTCACTTACCCTGTCCTGAAATTCTGATGAAATATTTTATTTTATTGTTTTATTTTTTTATCCTCACCAGAAGACACTTCCGCATTTATCTTCAGACAGAGTGGTAGGGAGAGAGGGAGGAAGAGAGAGAGAGAGAAACAATGATGTGAGAGAGACACATCGAGTGGCTGCCACCCACATGACCCCAACCAGGGCCGGGGACAAAATGCAACCGAGGTATGTGCTCTTAGTGGGAACAAAACCCAGGTCTCCCTGGTCCACGGGCTGACACTCTAACCGCTGAGCCAAACCAGCCAGGGTGTGATGAAATTTTTTTTTTTTTTTTATCCTCACTCGAGGACATTTTTCCATTTTTTGTTCAGATAGAGTGGGAGGGAGAGAGAGGAAGAGAGAGAGAAACATCGACATGAAAGGGACACATCGAGTGGCTGCCTCCTGCACGACCCAACCAGGGCCGGGGACAAACTGTAACCGTGATACATGCCCTTAGCAGGAACCTAACCCGGGTCTCTCTGGACTGCAGGCCGAGGCTCTAACCACAGAGCAAAACTGGTCGGGGCGTGATGAAATATTTTAAAGTGAGGCCTGAGAATCTGTAATTTTACAAGACTATCTAGATGATTCCGATGTACTTCCTGTCTTAGGAACCACTGAGTAATTAGTTCAGAGGTGATAAATATGATAAATATAAGCATGAGAAATGGACTTATTCAAATATATTTTTTAATTTGCTTACTTTAACTTTGTACAAAATTTTATGGGCAATTATGAAAAAACTAGTCAAAATCTACAAACGATAAAATAAAAATTGTAGTGATCTTCCCAGGTATAAGTAATATCATTTTCTTCTGAGCTTTCTCCATACATAACACTTTGTACCTGCCTGATAGCATTCACCCTATTCAAATTTATGTTATAGATATTTAAATGTATTTTCTCTCCCTGTGAGTTCATACATACCTTGAGCAGGGCTCTTTCTAAGATACATATTTCACTCAAAGTATCTAGGAACATAGTAACTTTAACAGAGTGGACACAAAATATATGTGAACTGAGATTCTCTTTGGTGAGAATCTGAACCCCTTGGTCCAGACCACCAAGAGCTGAGATAGAAGAGAAAAATTAAAGAAATGTATAAAGTGAACCTCCCTCACTCTTGATTCACCTTCTTCACTCCGCAATGTTGTCATCATTCAGCAGAGAAGCTACACTTCTTTTGTTCCTCTGTTAGAAAAAAAAAAAATTAACTGCTATGACTCTGATTGAACATGAATTTAATCTTTCTTCTCTTCCTGTCTCCTTAGGTTCAGAATATCTTTTCCTGGAACCCCTGAACATTTTCTGCCTTCTTGACTACACTTCTGCTCCTTAGCAATGATAATTACATGCCCGGGGATAACTAGAGTTACTGTTTTTTGTTTTGTTTTGGTTTTTATTTATTATTGTTGATCCTCACCTGAGGATCTTTTTCTATTGATTTTTAGAGAGAGAGAGACACACACACATCGATGTGAGACACATTGACTGGTTGCCTCCCGCACAACCCCGACCTGGGCTGGGGATTGAACCTGCAACCCAGGTATGTGCCCGTGACCAGAATCAAACCAATGACCCTTTGGTCCACAGGTTGATGCTCTAACTGCTGAGCCAAACTGGCCAGGGCTACAGTTACTATTTTAAAGATTAGCAATAATCCTTAGTGTTTTAAGTGCTGAAGAGATTAGTATACCCACACAGCTATAAGCCATCTGTGGCCCAGCAGAGTGCTGAGACTCAATTTGTGGGTGATGTTCCAATAATTTGTACATTTTTCCAATTTACACTTTCCATTTTCAATATTATTTCTACCCAGCTGTTAGAAGAGAATTGCTTTTTGTTTTATCAGCCTAAACTTATAACCCTCTACCCAGTTTTCTTTAGGTTTAAAGCATATAATTACCTCACTCATGTTTTTGTAACAGTTATAATAAACATCGTAATTCTGATAGAGTCTTTAGAGGTCATAAAATGCCATCTCCCCTTTTTACAGATGAAAAATATGCAAAGAGAGATTCAGTGGTTTGTCCAAAGCTTCAGTGTTAACACATGGTAGAGCCAAGTTGAACCCATACCTTTGGCTTTCAAATTCTACTAATACAATGTCTATTCTTCTCTATGACCTTATTTCTGACTGTTGGTTTTGAGTACTTTCAAGGCCCTAGACTTGAAACTCAATATTCCAACTCTGCCATCTCCCACTTATAAAAAGACTCCAAAGCAGCATAAAATTGATCTTTTAGTTCATGTATAGTTCCCTTTAAAGGATCTGAAAATGTTAAGACCTTCAAATGGCCAAGCTATAGTAAACACTCAATTGTTCCGGGTGTTGAGTTCCTCTCCCTGGTTCCTAAGATGAATTCAAAGGGTTTTGGGGCTTGACTTATTGTGGCCACAACATGGCTGAGTGTATTTTTAAATTCTCTTTTGGTATTTCTCTGTTCCTTTTCTTAATTCTATAAAGGTGGATAATTCTGATGTGCTGTTCTGCAATAACTACTTTTCCTTTATATTAAGGAGCACATTAGCCCTGGCCAGTTTGGCTCAGCGGTTGAGCGTCGACCTTCGGACCAGAGAGTCCCAGGTTCGGTTTCCACTAGGGGCATGTACCACATAAAAAAAAAAAAAAAAAAAAAAAGGAGCACACTTTCTCACTTTTCCCACAGTAACTCACCACCAACCCCTACATTTATTTGCTCTAAGAAAAAAGGCATATGGGAAATTTAGGGAGAAACACTACAGTAAATAGGTCTCCTGTTTTATGATAATCCTAAATAGAAGCTACAAACCAAATAAAATTGGATGCAAAAGGAATATTAATTTGACCACAAATGGCAAACATATCTTCTCTCAGATTCTGGAATCCCAAAAATAATCATGAGAAGTCCCTATGAAGGTAATATAAATTACAAGAAGAGCTATACTAAATGAGAAATAAAAACTAGTAGATTTGAGATGACAACATATCATTTTTTAAAATGTATATCTTTATAATATGCTTGTATATCCATAAACTATCTCTGGAAGAACACACAAGAAACTGACAAAAGTGTCTCTGGAGATCTCGGGTCCCAGCAGCTTGGGTGGTGGGGGAGAAGTGGCAGTGTCCAGGCAGCCACAAGGCGCACCATGGCTCTCAGGAACTCAGCATGAGCCCGCCCTGCTGCCATGATGCCCAAGAGGAAGGTTAGCTCCCTGAGGGGGCAGCGAAGGAGGAGCCCAGGAGGAGGTCGGCAAGGTTGTCAGCCAAACCTGCTCCTGCAAAAGTGGAAATGAAGCCAAAAAAGGTGGCGGAAAAGGATAAATCTGCAGACAAGAAAGTGCAAACAAAAGGGAAAAGGAGAGCAAAGGGAAAGCAGGCCGAAGTGGCTGACCAGGAACCTAAAGAAGATCTACCCGCGGAAAATGGAGAAACTAAAAACAAGGAGAATCCAGTCTCAGATGAAGCAGGAGAGAAAGAAGCCAAGTCTGATTAATATCATATACCATGTCTTATCAGTGGTCCCTGTCTCCTTTCTTGTACAATCCAGAGGAATAGTTTTATCAACTATTTTGTAAATGCAAGTTTTTTAGTAGCTCTAGAAACATTTTTTTTATCCTCACCCGAGGACATTTTTCCATTTTTTGTTCAGACAGAATGGGAGGGGGAGAGAGAGAAACATCTATGTGAAAGGGACACATCCAGTGGCTGCCACCCACCCAACCCAACCAGGGCTGGGGACAAACTGCAACCGAGGCACATGCCCTTAGCAGGAACCGAACCCTGAGCCAAACTGGCCAGGGCTAGAAACATTTTTAAGAAGGAGGGAATTGCACCTCATCCCATTTTTTAAAGTGTAAATGCTTTCTTTTAAGCAGTGAAATCATTTGCTGGTTGTTTATTTTTTGGTACAACCAGAAAATAGTGGGATATTGAATATGGGAAGCTTTGATTGCCTTGGGTGTCAGCTTACCATCCCATAGATGGGGGAAGTTTATATATCCTATTAATACAAAGCATATTAAATGGTAGTTTGGAGTCAGTTGTGCATTTAATATGTCTTGAACATTTTAAATTACTTCTATTCCCATGGTTTTGGTATAATTGTTTCCTAAAAAAAAGTCCTTGATCTTGGCTCTCCCTGTCAGAAGTCCGTGAGCTCTGTAACATCTTTGGTGTGGTAGTCCAGTTTTCCTAGTAACTTTGTTAATGTGCTGTGAAAGACTGAAAATTTGATTATGTAGTATATATATTAAATTGTGAATTAGTGGGACTTTGATGTAACAGCATATCAACATTTGAAAATATTGGTACTTGATACTCGAGGAAAATTAGCCTCCAAATTTTAAGCTGGAAAGTCACTGGAATAACAGTTTAGAAAAGAATCACTACATGACTTTACATTTTTGGTACGTATGTTAAGAATTGTGTACAAATTGAAATATCTGTGTACTTATCCTCAAAACAAACAATAAAATCTCAATTATGGAAGAAAAAAAGTGCCTCTGGAGAGTGGAACCATGTGGAAGGGAGCTTTTTATTGTACGCCTTATGTATCTCTAGCATTTTATAACATATACATATTATCACTTCAAAAATGATTTTTTTAATTCTAAATTCTTTAAACAAAGAGTATTTTGATCAACCTAAAAATACAAAATTTTCCAAGTTATGTTCAAGTGATTATCTAAGCCTATACTGACCTCTCCAGGCAAAAATGTGTGTTACTAGAGTGCCAACCACCTGGATAAAATTGTGGATCGTTATTGAGTGAATAAACTGTAGTAAATCTATAAGCAGCTATGTGTAACAGTTCCCCTTAATCTAGAATGGAGATGTGATGAAGAGCATTACTTTTAAAGAAAATCTCTAACCTGATCAATAGAGAAAGGAAAGCCAGGAAGTCACTGACAACTTAAATCTCTGCTCCTCTCTGTTCTAGACTAATTATTTTCTTCCACAATAACAAATACTGAAATCTACTTCAGAGAGAGAAATATTTTTTAAATAGTTAATAAATAGACAAAATATCACCAACTTTCATCTTGTGCTTCACAGGCGACCAGCTACTAAATGACTGGGGACACCAAACCCAGGAACAACAATTGAGGTTTTCTCTTTTCTTACCTTAGGTGAAAAAGAGAAGGAAAAAATCCAATAAAGCTTCAAGTATGAGAGTAAAAGAAAGTTCCATAAACCAGATGCTATTCACTCAACATAAAGAAGAAGGGGAAATAAGGAGGGAGAAAGAACTTAAAAAAAAAACAAGTAAAGGGAGCCAAAGGAAGGTGAATAAGGTGTTCTAAGAAACAGAAAGTTTTCTTTCACTTAAACATTAAAAAGTATCACACTGGTTTTAAGATAAAATCACCTAGCTCAGCAGTTCTCAAAGTATGATCCAAAGATCTCCCTTTTCCAACTAGTTATCTGTGTTAGGCTGGATTTTCTCATATATTTCAACCAAAACAAGATACAAGCATACCTTGAAGGCATTGCAGGTTTGGTTCCAAACCAACATACTAAAGTGAGTACCACAATAAAGCAAGCTGTGATCTTTTTGCTCGTGGAGGGTCTTGCCTTTAATTTGTAAAAAACAACACCACCAGCAACAAAAATGCAACACCTGTGAAGCACAATAAAGGGAAGTGCAATAAAACCAGGTACGCCTGTATCTTAACAGATTAAATTCAAAAACAGATGAAAATCCAGCTGTCTTCTATTAAACAAGACATGAAAGATATTGCAAAACTGGAAAACACCACCATGTTCACACTAACTTTCCTGTTTAGGAAAATAATTTTTTCACAAGAATGTTGTTAACATGAAATGCGTTTATTGTTATTTTAACATTAATAAATGTTTAACCCAGCTCGTGTGGCTCAGTGGTTGAGCGTCAGCCCATGCACCTAGAGGTCGCTGGTTCAATTTGTGGTCAGGGCACATGCCCAGGTTGTCGGCCCAATCCCCTGTGGGGGGCATGCAGAAGGTGGCCAATTGATGTTCTCATCGATGTTTCTCTCTCTCTCCCTGTCTCTTCCTCTCTCTCTAGTCAATAAAGAAAAACATTACTAAAAAAAAAAAAAATGTTTACATTTTTCTCAGTTTAATTTCTGCCATAGATATAAACCAATCTTTGAAGTCCTTCATATTTTTTTTCAGGGGAGGGCATGAATGCAGTCCCCTACTACCACAAATTATGCAGTCAAGTTTCCCACATTGGGGGAAATCGCAGGGGTTGGCACATCCAGAGTGCAATGGATAAGTCTCACCCTGGGAAAACCACCTTTGTGATCATGGTATCTCCCCTGCCAGGTAAGTATCTGCCTTCATAATTTTAATTTTTTTTCTCTATTGCTTTTAGAGAGAAAGGGAGGAAGTGGGAGAGAAAGACAGAAGCATCCATGAGATAAAACATTGATTGGCTGCCTCCTGCATGCTCCCCACTGGGGATTTGGCCCACTGACCAGAAATCGAACTGGCGACCTCTTTGTGCATGGGTCAATGCTCAACCACTAAGCCACACCAGCCGGGCCTCCTTCATAATTAAGAGTATAAACTGTTTGAGAACTGGTCTAAGTAACTTAATTCAGTCTTGTCAATATTTTTCAAAAAGCATTAATTCTCCTCCCCCATTTAGAATGTGTTCACAAATTTTCCCCTCCTAACTATCCAATTATTCCCTCTTTATATTGTTCCTGGAATTCTTGGTCTAAGAGGATAAAAGTAAACCCTTTAGAATTGTCCTCTAACACAGATTCTGTGACCCTCAAAAACCTGTATTTAAAGACTATATTTAAAATCGCCTTTAAGCTGGAGTTGGATTTCCTTTTGGCTTTAATGTCTAATGGCATGTAAACCTCTGCTTATTTTCAAGCCTTGATTAATAATAGCTATTTTCTTTCTTTCTCTTCCTTTTTTCTTTCTTTCTCTTCCCTCCCTCCCTCCCTCCCTTCCTTTCTTTCCTGTGCTCAGCGAGCATGATTTAAAACATTTAACAAGACAGAAAGAAAAAGAATATTCCAGCTACCCTACTGCCTATACTAGACTACCTGACAAGACATTACTGTCATAACTACTGTAGTTGACCTAAAGCTTTTACAGAATCTTGTAAATAAATGGTGAACTAAAGCTTCTTGGTTCAGAGAATGCCAGGAAACACAGAGATGTGGCCAGTTATCACAAAAATAGTCTTTTGGCACTCTGATCTTGTTCTTGCTATCTACTGCCAAAGATGCTTCCATACGTGCCCTTGTTACCGACCTCCAAGTGGCCTTTTTGTGTTTTCGCTGAAAGGAGCACATCTCCATCAACTTCCAGATCACCGCACCTTTTTCCCTGTCAGGGTGCCAAGGTGTGGTACAGGAAAGGGCCTTAATTCTACCTGTAAAACTTGAGGGAAGAATCTTTTGGTGATCCCCATTTTTCCTCACGCTTCCCTCACCAAGTATCTCTTAAGGACAACAATGAAGATTTGAGGTATCACAGGGTCAAAAATCCTTGGCTCCCCTCAAAAGGTAAAATAGTGTCTTTCTAGCTCCTTTTCCCCCATCAAGAACCCCGTTATGAGAGAATTTCCCCTCAGCCGCCCCTCCCGCTGAGGCACTAGAATCCTCATTCTCGCTCAGACCGTCGTCGCCTGCCAGTATAAAATATGGGGTTACTTTTGTTTGTTGGTTGGGAGGAGTCTGCGATTAGAGATTCTAAGAAGCAGTAGTTAAGAGTTGGTCATCGACCTGAAGAGAAAACTCAGACGAAAGGTTCCGGGATTGGCCGCGCCTTACGCCTTCATCTGTAACCGGATTAGAGCTAGCTACCTTCTGAAGCAAGGAGGACCTAAAGGCGAGGAACGGAGAGAACTGCCGCAACAGTTCTGCAAGCTCCTCCAACCTCGACCCACTTCCCCCGCCACCAAGAAAAGGCGCGAGGCCACGAATAAGCTCCACAGTTCCTTCAAGCGGCGACCTCTCAGTGCTGAGGCGCAAGCACAGCCGGAAGACGTGTTTGCGCTTGCGCAGCTGAGTGATTGCCGCCATCTTCCAATCGAACGCTCTGTAAAACTACAAATCCCATAATCCTGGTTGGCTTCACTTTTTTTAGGCGGCAATAGTAGTGCCTGATCGTTGATGAACCACATCTTTGTTTTACTAACTTTTCTCTGTCTCAAACTGTCTTTTCCTTCTTTTCGTTCCCTGATTTCTATTCTTCTTTTTAGTCTCCTTCGTACCCTTATTTTAATTGTTTGAGACTCTCCACCCCATTCTCGCTCCCCCACCCTCTTCTCAGACATAGGACCCGCATCCCAAACACTGTTGGCAAAGAGAACGGGCCACCTAGCACTGAGTAGAAAGGACGTTGAATAGCTTCCTCCCCATTGGCCGAGGCAGAGACCCAAGGAAGCCTAAACCTCTTCCCCACCCACACTCGTTTTTCTATAACGCGGCGCGAAGCCGCAGCGTGCACTCGGGAAGGCCTGCGTACGAGATGGTGGTGGTGAATGTATTGCTATTGGTGGCTTTGGTGGGCATGGGATTGCAGTCCTCGGGCTAGGGGCTCCAGCGCAGGCGTCTGGTGGTATGCGGGGGCGTTGGTGTCGGGGTTTTGGGTGTGGAGGCGGAGGGAAGGGCGTGGTGTCCCCAGGTGATCGCGATCAGGGGAAGGCTGACGAGCGAGAAAAGGATTCGGCCATTTCGGGGGAAGAAGGATTTGGACAACAACGGCTGTTTTAGTGCTGATTTTTTTCAGCTCAGCAGTGAATATATTCCAGGGGGGTGAGTTAAAATGACTTATCGTGTTTTACTGAGAACAGTTCGTAGGAAGACGATCAGTACACTTGCTCCTTCCTCACTTTTATGGTCCACCCCCTCTGCCCCTCCGAAGCCCTTCTAAGTAGGTGGGCAAAGAGGGGGGGACAACTAGGTCATGAATAATTCATGAGGGCCAACCCTTTCCTTAACCACTCCCCTCCGCGTCGTGCTGACGTACGTTACGTGTACCAAACCTGGGGAAGCGACGTAACAGTCCCCGCCCCTGGGACGGAGGGCGGGGCGTCACCTCCAGCACGTGCTGCTTCTACCCGCGCAAGCCCAAAAGGATGTGCGCAGGCGCTCCCCACTAGGGGGAGGAAGGAGGCGGGGTAGGGAGGTTGTTGGGTTTAGAGCCGGGCGGAGACCGCTGAGACTCATTCCTCAGGAACAAGGGTCGGGTGTCAAGGAGACCTTTTTACACCAGCTCCCCGTCCCCCGCCTACGGTGGGTGGGTTCGCGCGGCAGAGACAAAGGATATCAGTAGGGACGAACATAGCTGCGAAGGGAAGTAGGGTGTCAGTTTGGGGTGGTGGGCTTTTGGGGAGGATTAAGGGGGGCTAGATTTAAACTCCCGGAGCCGTTAAGTTGGTTCGTACTCGGATGCGCGCGCGACCAGGGTGGTGGCAGAGTGCGCATGCGTGAATCTGGGGCGAGAGGAACGCGCTCCAGCAGTGCGCGCTCACGGCAAAGCGGTAGTGGTAAAGGAGAAAGGGGTCGGCGCACGCGCGGTTGAGTCCTCCAGTTGTTCGGGTCTCGCGGGCATCTTGTTTTGGTCTCGTGGGCAAGGGGGGCGCGCTTCGGGGGAGGCGCTTGGGCGCGAGACTAGAAGAGACGAGCAGAGCTGCGCGTGCACCCGGGAAAGGGGGGGAAGGGAGCGGGGTCTCAGAAGGGGGGTTAAGCCCCCTGGTCCACCATCGTAGCCCTCGACTGGGACGCAATAAGGGGAGGAAATGATAGAGATGGCGGCGGAGAAGGAGCCGTTTCTGGTGCCTGCCCCGCCGCCGCCGCTCAAAGAGGAGTCAGGCGGAGGGGGCAGCCCCTCGGTGCAACCACACCGAGAGGTCGCCTCTGGGGAGCTCCGCGGCGGTACGCAGCGTGGGCCGGGCCCGCGCGCACACTCAGCTGGGGTCTTGGCTTCTGGGGCGGGCAAGGAGAGCCCCAGGGCTACACCTACCCCTCGGGGCGGCCAGTCGGAGCAGCTACGAGGGGGCGGCCCCCAGGCGCACGGGGAGGCCCGCCTGTCGGATCCCCAGGGGCGAGCCGCTCCCCCGGACGTGGGGGAGGAGCGACGGGGAGGGAGCGGAACGGAACTGGGACCCCCTGCCCCGCCTCGACCCCGGAATGGCTATCAGCCCCACCGGCCCCCTGGGGGAGGTGGGGGCAAGAGGAGAAATAGCTGCAATGTAGGGGGAGGTGGTGGAGGCTTCAAACATCCGGCCTTCAAGAGGCGCAGGCGGGTTAATTCGGACTGTGACTCTGTGTTACCCTCCAACTTCCTACTGGGGGGCAATATCTTTGATCCACTGAACCTGAATAGTCT